TTATACAGTTCTTTTCTTGCATCTTCGATTGAAGCTTGTTTCATCAATACTACACCTTTTTGATAGCGTGCCTGATGAAAAATATTAATTACAGCATTGGTAAATTATAACTTTTAAAATTCTATAATATCAGTAAAAATGTACTCACAGCTGTAAAATCCGGTTTGAGTTCAAGAACTTTTCCGAAATCTAGTAAAGCAAATTTAGCTTTTCCAAGGGCTAAATAAACTGTGCCTCTTTTAAAATAAGTTAAATAATTATTTGGATCACCCTCTGAAAAAAAATATGTTCCGTGTTATTATTAGTAAGATACATTTTCAGTTATAAATTGAAAAGTTACTTTTAGATCTTAAGCAACTATAAACTTATCTTTTGATATTCTAAAATATCAAATCATTATATGAAACAACTTTATACAAGCTATAATACAACATCAACACATTTATATTATAATAAATAATACAAGGTTAGGTTATGTTTTATAAGCATTATAATTAAAAATGAATAATAATAAACGCATCATAGTTTGTCAGTCACCATAAAAAATCAGTGATATTGTAGGTATAAAATATAAATAACAGATAGGTAGCCGTTGATATTTAAATCAAAATAAAAGCTGCTGGTATGTATATTTAATGTTACTAGCAATATTTAAATAGGTAAGAGAATTCAGAAAATCAGAATAGATTTGAATGAATTGGATTAGAGATTGCAAATTAAAATGTTGAAAACCTATGATATACTTAGTACCTACGTGTTGTACAGATAAAATAATTAAATAGACATAATGTCATTGGAATGTATTAGAGTAATTTGTATAGTCTTATTAATTAAATGGTATTAAATAAACCATAAAAATTAATGTGGACAGTTGTGCAATTGATCAGACCAACATCATAAATGCTAAACACCATTGGTGTTTCTTTAGAAGTCTAGAAGACCGAGATTCAAAATTCTGTTAGCCAATAAGAAAACGTATGCACTTACCTACAGCGGCGTGATAATGGGACAGGGCGTCTTGGAGTTGTCCACGGGCCAAGAAGTCGCGTCCCATTTCCAAATGGTTCTCGACCTCGGAACCTGAGGATCGAACGAAAAATAAATACAAAACAAAATCTATTGGCCGACGTATCCGAGGATAGCATTTGGAAGCACGCAGAGGCACTGCTTACCCATGACTACTGAAAAGTCCAAGGCCAAGAAAAACAGACAAGTGGAGTACAGCTTCGGCCGCATCCTGTGCCACGTATCCATATCGGCGGCGTTAAAAGTCACTTTATTCCTCTAGACGTGTCGGGCGTACTTGCAAGCGCAGCGGCTGGTCGTGATGATCCGGATGGAAACCAATCGCATCCTACGCGACGAAAAGACGACAATACGTCCGGGGTGCGTGTGACGTGCGGCGTAAGCGAACGGTGTCTGAACAGTGAGCACTCGGAGCGGGTCACCAAAACTGAGTCGGTTGCCACCGCCGCCGTGACGACTGATAACAGAAAACGCTGATAACGGATTCTGGGACGGCCGTGTTTGGCATACGGCCGTCTGGCACCTATGCTCGGCGCTGACACGACTGGCGCCAAACGCAACCGTAGGCCGACCGGTCGGGCGCCGTGTTGTACTTCCATTGGTCCATTTGGTTTTCCGCGCCAAATCGCCAGGAAAACAGTGGACCGTATGGTATTCAAAAGCTTAAAAAATGTAGCCGAAAGTCCAAATTTTTTTTGAGATTTAAAAATATTTCCATTACTACGTCTCATATTATTCTGTACAATCTTTTGAACAACACATACTCTTCTATTAAATACCTACTACTATTTTTAGTTGTACAAATTTGAAATTGTGCAACCTATTATAATTATTACTATTGTGTAATGTCTGTTATCCACTTATACGGTATAAGAGACAATAAATTATACAAAAATGTGTACATTTTATACCTCTAGACATATGTTCTTATGGTAGAATATTAGTAAAAAAAAAAATTATTCAACAAAAAATTCTTACATATTATTTAGTATCTAAAGAACAGGTACCTAAGTGATTTATATAAGTATAATGAACTAATTAATAACAATTGCAACTTCTTAAAACTTCTGAACTACCTACTAATTAATTTGCAATTTATAGCATAATCTCGCATGTTTAGGTAGGTACATACTAATAAATGTTAACTCTTGATTTATTCAACCTATATATATATATATATTTATTTCAAAGTCTAATGTAGAATACTATTCAAAAAACTGTATTGATGTAAAAAATATGTTGAATATTCAGCTATCTATAAACGTTTTTTTTTTAATTTTTAATAATTATAATTAATAAGTATTTAACTTTTTCTCGAGGTGCTTTAACACTCACGGCCTATCACATAATATTATATTTAGGTACCTACCTATTAATAATTATTAATAATTACTTATTAGATACAATTATTTATAGGTATAGGTATTATATTATGCTGCAGTCAACGGGGCTGTGACAGGTTCACTGATATTGTTGTTTACTCTGTCGCGGGGAAATAATGATTCATTTGCGTGTGCGTTTGTTATTGGACCACGCAACCGATGTCGTCACATTACACTAACAAGCTGCAGCAGTCACACAGACTATACAATATATTGTATTTTCATACATAGTATACGTGTTTACGTGTGCGTACAGGAGAAAATGGTGGGTGGGTTAGCCCTCTTGATAACGGATTGTCTTGGGTTGTGTGAAGGATAAGCCTCCCCGGCTCACGTTGATGTTTAAACTGCAGTTGGCCAGTTAAATCACCCACCCCAACCATTTCAATGGATTTCCACCTATGCGTGATGTCCGTGAAAATCGGAAAGCCTGGATATGGGCACGTAGTACCGTGCAAGGGAGGAAGGGATTCAAAGTGGATAATTGACATGGACTGCTAATTTCAATAGGATTTCAAAATTTCAAATCGACAGTTTTTAAAGAGTTCAAAATAGGAAATTTCACATAATATACGTGCGTATTGAGGGATTATAAGTGTATGCGACTTAAGTGTAAAAGAAACAGCAGAACTCTCCCTCACACGCACGTATAGTGTATACGTCATCGACTTGGCGCTGTGGGCGTGAACACTGGGCAGTTAACAATATGTATGCTCATTTTCAGGATGTACTTCTTATCAATCCTACCGATGGACCTCATGACGCGATAAATCCTCTGAAAGCTGATTTGAATTCGTTGAAATAATATATTATACGCACGTCGCACATGCATCATACCACATATACAATCACATTCACACTAATCATCATTAACGGATGACGAGTGACGACTAACACAATTAATGCCATGGGTGGAGCCGGTGAAGGCATCATAATTGCATATATTGGCTAAATAACTCCCCTTATTAAAGACACATGAGCAGGCCTCTTAATAATGATTTAATATACCTACATGGTTTATTTGTACAATGAGTACCTCGCAGTAATTATTTTAGTATACCTATTACCTACATAAAGAAAATATGGTAGAATACCCTAGGCTAATTTACTGAAAAACAGACAATTTCATCTGACGCCAAAGGTTTCTTTTAGTATTTTATTGCAGTGTTTTTTTTTTTATATAATGGTGGGATATGATTTTATTTTATGAATTTAATGTCCATATTAATACATATTAAATGTATTAAAATTTTAAATGTTTCCCAGTTTCTATATGTGTGCATCGTATATGAAATATGAATGTATAGTATATAATACATAGGTATACAAGTTATTAATCATGATTAAAATACATTATTATACATTATTATACATTATATGTCTTTATCGTGGAATTAATTAAAATATTGTAAAAATTGCATTATTAATTTAATCGTGAAGGGTAGAAGGGGGTAGTAATGGGTGGAGTTTTAAAATCTGTCTCTGGGTGGCATATTCACTAACACGGCAGTCGGCAGTGGTTGTGTGTGTCATAGGTATTTATTAAACTTAAATGGGCATGGTTTTAAAGAACGGTCAGGAATTTTTGGGCGTAATTCTTTCGAGCGAATGACCCAACAATTACATATGTAAGTAATTTTAGGAGGAAATAAAACGATCGTTAAAGAGAATTTATATTTAAGAATTTAAAACTATTAAGAGGGTGTCAACACTCAGCCAGCTCACTATTTGTTTTCTTTCTCTGAACGATTGAACCACGAGCAACATGACAATTTTTCGTTCGGCAGAATCAATGATAAAAAAAACAGCTTATGTAGAAACTGTTATTACATTTTCAAGCTTTTTGGTCAATCATACATTTTTTAAAACTAAAAAAAATTGAAAATTTGAAGTTCATATATATATATAGCTTAAATGTAGTCTAAACATCAGAAAATTGCATTGAATATAGACAATGATAATTTAAGTAAATTGAAATTAATGTTTCAGGTTCTATGTTTAATGTTGTATAAAATAACATGATATTATATAGTACAGTCGGTGTCAAGTGTATACCTCGCCAATGAGTAATGTAATGGATATACTACATTTGAATCCAATGATAAATCTTTGAAGGTTTTCGATGTAAACGATTCTGAGAGGAGACGGTCTAACTTTTTGGTACCTAACCATGGTTACTAAATAGTTATTTCAATAATAATTTCAAAATTTTAACTTATATTCATAATGTTTTCCTGATAAATTTGCCTAGTACAAAATAGATCCAATTTGCTACTAGAAATGACCTCCCTCGGAGTTAATGATTGGAGCATCTTTTCGGCTAGAAAAAGTGTTCAGAAGTTCAGACACAAAAATAAAATGTAAAAACACACATTATTGTAAAACCAATAGCGGCAATAGCCAACAAGTACATCTGTTCAATTAAATTAATTTATTATTTTCATTTATTTCACATAAACATTATTACATAAGCATAAGACTTAAAAAAAATTACCAGTTAGCCACAAAAAAAAATATGATTATGATTAAGTGGTGAAATATTTCATAAACGTGTTAAAAAAAATACATAAACGTGTGCTGTAAATGATACTTTTAAAGTTATACATTATGAATGAACATAATTACTAACTAAGGTTTAAGACTAACAACGATATTAATTGTTAAAGTAACATACCCAACATTTAAACTTGATATTGTTAAAACAATTTTGCTTTTTTACAATTTTGTAACACATTTATAATTGTGTAACAAACACGCATAGTCTGTAATTTAAAAAAAAGATATTATATTTATTAAAACTACCTAAATAAAATAATATTCTGGTACTATTTATTGTGTAAAAATATTCAAATAAACATAATAATGTAATATTATTCTGCTCTGTTTTGAGGTAGAGAAAAATAAATTATTAGGAAAGTAGATACTTTATGAGGTTTTTAAATTTTTTGATATTTTTTATTTATAGATCATTAAGAAACATCCAAATTGTCGGTTGTGATTTTGTTATTTTGTACTTTATCTTAGTATTGTGCTTATGTCTTATCAATATGACAATATTACCATTTATGAAATACAAATAACTGCTTTCTACTTGACATTTACGAAATAGAGTTTTTTTAAAAAAATTTCATGGATTTATAATTCAAAATAATTTTCATATTTTCGAGATTTTTACGTATTTTGTCCAAATTTGAACTTCAAATGCTTACAAAAAAATTGTGACTATGCATTTTGTATATGTTATATTCTATAATGATACAGTATCATTATATTTTATTAGGTATTAGTCTTGTATTAAATGTACAAGTTTTTTGAGTTTTGACCCAACGAATATAATTTTACTGTCAAATAAATTGAAAGAAAACAAATAAAACTCGAAATTTTCTTATGCCTATAAATAAATACCTTAAGAAGAGTCGCAATATTACGAAAATGTTGTGGTGCATAATATATTGCTAATATAAACATTCAGTTCCATTTATTTCCAGTTATTATTTTTAGATTTACACTATAAAAAACAAAATCAATTTTTTCAAAAACTGGCTTATCCTGCCGCTTTTTAAAATTATTGGGAATTTTTTACTATTGACCCACCAATATACTATCTAGAATCTAGATTCACACTCCTACCAGAAAAATTATATTGAAGAAAATAGGAGGATTTTTACTGCTTCAAAAAGTGATGACAGACATAAAAAATAAAAATAAAATAAAAATAATAAAAAACACACATCATTGTAAAATCAATACATTCATCGCTCCTCTCAGAATCTTAAATACAGACTTAGAGCACTGTGATGAATCAAGATACCTTTGCATCAAACTTGATCAAACCTTGCCGTATAAAAGCCTTTGTTATAATTCAAAAATTAAATAAGAACAAGGAATACTATTTACTTCAGAAATTGGTTGGTTCTCAATGAGGTTTAGACCAACATGTCCTAAGAACGACAGCTCTATCATTATGCCACTTGACAAGTATAGATGTTGCACTAAATTCGGTAGATACACCAATTACGAGATTGCTACAAAGTTCAGACCAACTCACATTCGGAAAGTACAAATTTATGTGGAGTAGATCCTTCAAACATAAGATGAAAGGCAGCGGCAAGGATAAAAAAATTAAAACAAAAAAATAGACATGAGGCATCCTCAATATTGAGTTGACTTCACAGGGATCCGAATTAAGTCAAGAAAAATCTTAGATACGTCAACAGTTATAGACTATCAAAAACACCTGAAGCGACAAGAATAGACTTAACGAAGGATGAAGAAATGGTTTAGCTTGTTGAATTACAATTGAATTACAATGACGAAATTCGTACACTCAACGCCTGCTGTAAATTAGAGTGGTAACCAACTTGCCCACCTATTTTTATTTTTCCTCAATTATTAAGAATAGAACCTGGACATTTTTACTTTTTACTTCTTAAAGGAACAACTAGATTCACAGTCCTGTTAAAAAAAGTATTGAAATGGAAGATTCATTTTTACTGATCGAAAAGGTAGTGACAGACAAAAAAATTGTAAAATCACATATCACTGCAAAATATATGAATTAAATGCTCCGCTTAGAATCTGTAATGAATTATTAAAATGGCTTATTCTGAACGTAAAATTTGCTGCTAAGTGATCAGTTAGTAAGCGTAGAGAAAATATGAATATGACGTCCTCTTAAACATATTTATATAAAAAAAAAATGGAATTGGAATTAAATTCCTAAAAAGTAATGCAGTAATTTAACTTCATAGACTTTCTATGTTTTCTCTTAGTAGTTGTACTTACTATGTAATTGTTTATTAATTAACATGAGTTCTATGCGTATCTTTGAAAACTAATATTATTTTATTTATAGTGGTATTAACTTTTTTCTATATTATATTATGATCAAAGTATAAAAGAAAGTTCAACATTTTTCAATTAACAATATTGTACTTTTTAAGGGAATGTATCTAATTTTTAAAAATATCGAAAATCCGTAATGTAATTTTAAAAATTTTAGAATTACAACACTGCAGTGCATTACTTTGGAGCTGGACATTTTATTATAAAAATATTTAAATTAAAAATATTAGGGACAATAATACTTTCACTACCAACTAAAATACTTAATATATGTCATTGATTATATCACTAAATGTGTATAATTATAACAATACATACATGATACATACATGATAAAATATTTCCATGTTAATAATTCTTGTCCTCGTATATTGTAATTTTTGGTGGTGCGCATTATTCATTCTCATTGTTAACAAAATCAATTTTTTACATTTCATGTCCATTTCTGTCCAATTGCAACTATACAACGCAAATATTATAGAATCTTTCTAAAAAAAATATAGTTATATTTATTTACAAACTTTTTAATGCAATCTAAATATACAAAAAATGTGTAAGTGGATAACGCTCTGCTGTACATTTGGCGTATTGAGAAGTCACAGCAATGGATTTACTAAAACTTAAATTTGACTTCAATGATATAAAATCATTTAATACAAAAAATGATTCTGAGTAAAGACGGTCTGTCAGCCTTTAATATTATTGTGTTTTAAGTAATTGTTTTACTATTATACATTACTTAGCATTAGTACTACAGTAGATTACATTATTTTTTGTCAGAAAAAAATTTAATTTGAAAGTGTCATTGAGTGTAAAAAATATAATAATATACATAATAGTTAAATTACCCGCGAATATAACATTTAAATTACAACAAAATAACTAAAATCGCTATTCTTTGTTTAAACATCTAATTTCGTCCAAAAATGAATATGAAATATCTGTAAGAAAAATTGTTTTTATGTATTCGTTATATTTTTTGGTTACAGTGTGAACAATACAACATTGTTTTTGTAACTATATACTACTATTCGTGGGTATTTGAAACTTGTATAGCATATTTTTATATTTTATAGACACAATGACATTTTCAAATGCAATTGGTTCGATGAAAATGAATTTTTATGTTTAATACCTATTTAAATAAATACATTTAATTTAATCACAATAATATCATAAAATATACGTGCTTAGTAATATTATAGGGTGACACTGGTAACAGACCGTTTGCCCTCAGAATTTTTTTTCACATACAATGATTTAGTGTACCAAAGAGCGTTACCCACTTACCCGATTTTTAAATGCTTGGTTTAGGTTTCGTTTTCGTTATTAGTTATTATATTCCAAAATTAATGTCAAATAAGTAAACTACAAGGATAAAAAACAAAAAAGAACTACAACGAACAGTATTGAATATTATAATCAATAGTCATAGTGTCATACTTAATTTTCTGAAGTATGCGGTATAGTTTACTATAAAAAATTAAAAACAAATCTAACCTCATTACGGAAATTTAACCCTTCATATTAATATTTTTACACAAGATTAAACATTATTATTTATTATGCATTATACCTATATACTATACGTACTAAATACTATATTGATTATAATACATTTTTTATCGTTATTTCTAGAAATCAAAATCAAAAATTTCAAATGTCTGTTAAAAACTTAAAAAGAATCAAAATATTTTGAAAATTAAACTTATTTAATAGGAATATTTTTCATAAAGTGCCACCTGGATACACTTGGTTAAAACAAAATATAATGAAGTTAAATAGAAAGATTTTTACTGCTCCAAAAGAAGAAACTACTTTTAAATATCTGTAGGTACTTTTAAATCGTATTTTATTGTATGGGTAAAGTTTCTGTAATGTAAATACCTATACTATAAATATTTGAATTAGTCAATTAGATATATAAATTCGAAATTACTTTGATGTGTAAGGTTTCAAACATATGACAAGATATATACATTTGATAAATACAAAAAGGTATTGCAAAACCAGCTTTCAACGTTATCACAGCCATAGATTCCGTAAAATCTTCTTCATAAAAACTCTAAAAACATTAAGTGTATAAAAAATATGAGATTTGGTCGTAAGTATAGAAAATTATAAATAACATGTGAAAACTACTTAGCTATATACAAACAAAATGTTTGAAAAACAAAATTATATTTATCTAAATAATAATTAGATGCTAGTGTTTCATTATGTTTGTATCTACCATTAAAAAAATGAACCAAAGTAAAATGATCGAATACGACAAAACAAATACTTGCAGTAACATTGTTGGTCGGAATATTGATAAAAATTCATCATATTTCCTGTATAAAAAGAGACAATTTTTTTTTTAAAAACTCACGCTATACAACAAAACAGCATTGCCTACAATATAAAAATAAACAATTTTTAAACTTATTATCCTAAAGAAACTTTATATAGTCACTAGAAAAAATAAATATGACTAATAAATGTATTGTTTTCCTTCACATGAGAACATTTTAAAAATCTTTAAAATGACTAATTAATTATTTTGTTGATAATATTATTTTTTCATGTATCTATAGTAGGTATGTTAATATAGTTTAAATTATAAATACATAACTTACATTAAATAATATGATTGTTGAATGTAAGATCAAAATTAATAGCACTTTTTATATTTGGAAAACAAAATTAATAGGCACTTACTTCAGAATGCTTTGATGGTCTATTATAATTGTTTTTAAGTCTTCGTACACAGAAATATTGTTTATAATAATATGTTCATTACGTAACTTAATCTTGTTTTCAATATTATCTACAAAACACATCATATTAAAACTATAGGTATACTTTGTGCCTTGTATATCTTTTTAATTAACAATATTTAGGTGGGCTGACAAATCTTTGGTGGCTGAATATTGTTTTACAACTTCGTTTCATACTTTTTTTTTCAATAAATATCTAGTTATTTTGAGGTATCTATTACTTGATAAATTAAAATAATTAAATTGTATACAACAATATCACAGATAATGTATTATTTTGTTTATTTTCAATATAAACGTTAGTGTTGTATTTATTTTATTGTATTATTATTATAATTAAGGGGATTGGAGTGATGATATTCTGTCTTTGTCTAACGCATGCAGAACAATGGAATTATGTGGGGCCGGGACAGATTTCCCGATTTTGATAGCGGTAGTGATAAGCTTTGTGGTCTTATTCCAACGTACCAACTGATCGAGTGATACGATAAGAATTCTAAAATTAAATTTGAATTTCTCATTTAGTCTACTTGGGCTCGAATTTCCAGTATTTTTTATTGTGTTCCTCTTAATTCCTAAGAAAGTCATACTTAATATTAAAAAAGAAAAATTTCAATTTATTATTTCAATTTTTGTAGAAGTTAAAATCAAAAAACAAACAATGAGGGGAAATAGATCTCTACTAGAGATTCTCTAGTCGACTCAACGACAAATTTAAATCTATTTTCAGAACTCTTATCGCTTAATTAGATCAATCGATACGTTGAAATAAAAACATGTTTAAATTCGCATATTCCACGTGTGTTAGACAAAGACCTAAAATCACATTTTCCAATACAAAAAAATATTTCGCCCCCTTTCCCACCACTTAAAACTGTAAAGGTCCGCCACATGACCTCTCGATCACCCCTGATAAGATAATTAATAGGCAACCCACACTAAATTTTTCTAATACAATAGCACGTAAAAGCTGTAAGTACTTACTATTTGGGGAGTGGTGGGATTCATGTCCAACCGATTCAAACGCATTGGAAATTATTTGCAACTGACCGCATAATGCGAAGCCCAACGTACTCACAACAATATCAAAAATAACCATAAAAAGTACAAAAATGACAGTGCCAAATGCTTCGATGATGTAAAACACATTAAAATGTGTGTTGTAAGTGTCTTCAGAGGCGAACAAATATAAATTTAGAACGTTCAGGCGATAGGCACTGGTTGAGCCGTCGTGATTTTTCATTATTGTAAACGTGTTACTGAATACCAGAGGACACGCCACAAAACAGATACACACTACTGCATTAACTATCGCGAATATGTTCGAGGATTTAATGGCACGATTTCGCCACACGTCCAGTGTACGTCTGTACTGGAGACCGTACGACGTGAAGTCGAACTGCGTGATCGTCAAGCAATCCCATATAAGTTTTGATTGGTTGAGGACGATGTACATCTTGTAGCTCGAGTACAGCATGTTTACCACGAAGCCGAAATAGAGTACGGACTCGTCAATGTTGTTTATGCAATAATACAAGCCATTTAAACACATCATAGCCGACATGAGGCATTCGAAGGCAATGAGCGATAGATACGAAAATTCTGTAGTGAACATTGTGACGGCCTAGAAATGTTGCCGTTCGGTGTCCAAAATTTGATAGAATCCGAAAAATTTTGCCAACACCAGGTTGAATATTCTGTTATTATTGGAGTGAATATTCATAATTATCAATGTTCGTGCAATATATCTATTCGTCACCTGTCAAAAAGTATACCTATAACGCATCATATACACTGGACTGAATAGGTACTCTTTATAACGGCTAAACTTCATATTATAATATAAATATAGGCAATGTTAATACAAACCTTTTCTAAAAATTGAGTTTTCACGGTATTTATGTTGTTACGTTAGAGATTTAGAATGCGTATCTATAGGTACACGAATTTACTTAAATTTGTAACCACTGGATAGTTCGTGTATTTTAAATTACATCTATACCACACCTAGAACGCATAATTTAATCAAAGTAAAAATGTATACTTACCCATGCATTAAAAAAAAAATCTCTTACATTGGTATGTATTCATTGTTTAAAGAATGTTTTACAAAAAGGAAATTTTATTTTATTTTAAAATTTTGTATTTACTAGATACATCTTACAATAGTTGCTGCCGGCTTATATTTATTCAATTCAACTGTATGTGTGTGACTGCAGTGAGGACAGAAATGGACTAGTGAAACACTCAAACATATAATATATTTATAAAAGGTTGCCCTTTTCAAGAAAATAGGTTATGTATAATTTATGAGTGATGCACTGATGCGTTTTTAACTATAGGTAAGTATTAATAAACCTCCCAAGGATTATATTTATTTAATTTTCTGTCATTATTAATTTCGTGATTATAGTTTGATATTATGACAATCGAGTTTAATGCATAAGCAAGCCTGTAACCAATAGTTAAAAACTATCTACCTAACTATGTTTTTTTAGCTATGCAGTTCTTTTTAAGGGCTTATAGAAAAATACATTGATTAATCATTATCCATTATTTATTATAGAGTTCGTCACATCGCTAGAATCATTAGATATGCTTATGGAGTATGGACTTTAATATTTATTAATTTTCGATTAATTTTTTTCTATTAACATGCATCTCTCACATAAGTCATGTCAATGTCTACGTCATATTAATTACTAGACAGGTTTGAATTTTATGTTACAAAAATGAACACATTTTCTTAACAAAAATAGTTCACCTATAAATAATAATACAATAATATCATTGAACATTCGTAAATATAGTAAATACACATGTGAATTTTGAAATTTAAAAAATTTAATGTCATCATTTGAATAATCTGAGGTAGAAGTATTGTAATTTTGAAGTTATAGATACTAATCTTATAATAGAAGAAGCCTTTAGAGGTGTCTTAATTTTTACTAATATAAAACAGGTATCATTTCTTTTTCTGCTCTTCATAATTGAAGGGATCTGTGCAACAACCAGACAGCTCTATTTTTCGTAAAAATTGGGTTTTAATTGAATTGGTTGAAGCAAAAACTGTTGAGTTTTTCTGTACAAGAACCAGACAAATCCAACCATCCGTATAGGAAGTAGGTATAATGTAACTATAGGAGCTATCTGGTTTTATTTTCCGTTGAAGAACCAGACAGCTCCGGAGTTTTTTTTTTGTTTCTTGAAAAGTTTTGAAAAATAGAGCGATCTGGTTCTTGGCATTCTTGCACGGAAAAATTCATATTATTTCCATTATAGATTATACGGCGATAGCGACTCTCTGCTGGCCACTCCTGTCTCCTGCTATAGACCATACTACTATTATAGGTACCTAGTTAATATATATATGTATATCTATGAGGCTATACACGTGCCGTAAAGCTATAATATTTATTATAATTTATAGCCAATAATACTAGGATTTAGGCTTACGTGTGTACAATATACTATAGTCTGTAATATATTAATAAATTCTGCATCTTATACTATAAGTGGATATGCAAATAGGTAGGTACCTAAAAACCTATAAAGGTAGCAAAGGTTTCAGCTATTTTATAAAATATTAAACCAATTTATTTAATACCTATTTGTCAAAAAATACATAAACATAATGATACAATTATATTTATTTATTTCCATCCAGATAGATTTACAGTTATTAAGCTTATTTCTAAGTTCTAACACAGTCATTTTAGTCCTATTTAGATCAATTATAACTGCAGCTGACTAAGATTTAAACATTATTATTTATTATGATAGGCAGGCATATAACTATATAAGAATAATCCCTATTTCCCTAATATACCTAAATATTATTACAGTACCTAAGCGTATTGTCTGTCAAATTATAAGACATGAAACAAAACCCTATGAGAAATATTGTGATCTCTAGTGGAAAAAACAACTTTTATAAGTACAGTTATATTTATAAGTTATAAGTTATCAGTTATCGCCGTCTTTGTTTCAGAAAATCAGTAAATTATTGTACATAATATGTATGAAATAACATATGAAATAGTTATCTAATTAATAATTTTATTGTCTAAAATATGTACAATTTGGTGATATCATCAACTCAAATTGAAAAATTCTAGCTGTAATAAAATGTCTTTTATAGTTTTATGTAACAAAAGATAATACAAAACTTTAGTGGGCCAGTGACCAAAGTTATAAAAGCTTAAAACAAAAATAACGAACTTATAGTTACGTTATTTACAAATGTTACAAGACTTGCAAAACAGTTGTACCTGCCAAAAATATATTTTAATCGTTTTCTACTGACCCTATTTGATTATAAATTATAATTTGTAAGAATTAAAGAAAATTGTAAAATTAAAATATTTATTTGAATAATGCACATTTAGTATATACAAATGTACCGTGTACCTACAAGGCTACAAAACTACAAAAACACTTGATAATAACAATGTTAACGATTGAAAAATTCAGATAGGTAGTACCTACAGTAGAAGCAAAATTATAAATTATACTACCTAATAAAGGTTAAGCTTGA